ACATGCTGCAATCTGGGAATCCACACAGCCTCATTTGCAACATCTTCTCTACGTGATGAGCACAGGAAATTTCAAGGGCCTTGGGGTAGCAGAGATCCTTCATTCCAACAGGCCTCCACACAGGCTAGACAGGAGGTCTTACCCAATCGATGTTGTCCAGCCAGTTGTCCCGAATCATGGCCTCCTTATTCAAGAAGTAGTTGCCCTCTGAGTCAAAATGGCCTTCTTCCATCTCCTCCTGCAAATTGAACGGGGTGATCCGGACGCCGTCTTCGTAGTCGATGGTGGCGGATTCCTGTCCTGCAAGGGCAGGTGAGAAGGGAAATTTTTTACCACTTTCCTATAACTCAACAGTTCCGCACGTTTAGCATTTTAATCAATGAGCTAGGAGGAATGTGTGACGATGAATCCTTTCGCACCACCAAGTGTCACACCCAGGCATCTCCTTACATAAAAAGTGTGCAGTGGACTACTTTTCAAGGATTTGGGGAAAGGGTTTGCCCACAGTTGTTTTCTAAGTATCACAACAGCCCTTAAATTGCTCTCTTCCCCCCTCAAGCAACCATACCCACACTGCTGGCATCCCAAACACAAGCCCCACTCTTCACAACTGGTCTAGGGACTGTAACAATAAACCGAAACGGAACCCCCACTCTTACTTTAACAGCCATAAGGGTCAGAAACATGATGATTTAAGTGAGAATTAAAAAAAAAAAGGCAAGGATCTCAGAATGTTGAATTCTGACACCAAAACTTGCAATTCTAGCCCTCAGTCCCAAACCTGCACTTACCCTCCACGTCGTCTGATGCAAGAATATCATATTTACTGCCTCGCCCTTCATCGTCATCCTCATCATCATCATCTTCCTCATCGCTGTCCAATGAGTGCTTGCCCTTAAAGCGGCTGCCCGGCCCTCCAACTGCAGGTTCCACTAGCTACATAGGAGACAAAGGTGCAGAAACATCAGTAGTTTCTGGCTTCTTTAGCCGTTACTCTGCTGGTAAGCTGCCCTAAGTCAAAAATGTATATGTTGCATCTCCAGAGGTAGCTTACAAAGTAAAACACAACAAGACAGCATCAAAATTGTTTTTTTAAAATAACAAGCCATTAAAACCCTGCCAGAGTATACAGACAGCATAAAACACTTCGCAGCTCAAGACAATTCTCATAAAACAGTCCTCAGGATAAAACTGTAAAACCAATTTTTAAAACATCAAACCCCTTCAATAAAAGCCTTGGTGAAATGTTTTGGCCTGGCACCCAAAAGAGAGCAGGGTAGGTGGTGAGCAAACCTCAAAGGGAAGAGTGCATTTCACAGGCAAGGTGCCACCACTGAAAAAGCCCTGTCTGTGGTCACCACAAACCTCCCCTTTTGCAAGGAGCATCTTAAGTAGCAGACTAGAAAGTACCGAAGAACAAAGTCCTTCAAGTATAGACTCAAATAAATAGTCTTCCAGGTTTTGTATAACAAAAATGGTATGACTTGTTCCATGCCAACTTTGTCTCCTGGGGACCAAGGTCAGGGAGAGGGAGGAACGAAAGAGGTGTTAAGAACATAAGGGATGCCAATGTTGGATCAGGCCAAAGGCCCATCCAGTCCAACACTCTGTATCACACAGTGGCCAGAAATACCAGTGCCATCAGGAGGTCCACCAGTGGGGCCAGGACATTAAAAGCCCTCCCACTGTTGACCCCCCCAAGCACCAAGATGACAGAGCATCACTTGCCCCAGAGTCCCTATCTATACCTTGTGGCTAATAGCCACTGATGGACCTCTGCTCCATATGCTTATCTAATTCCCTTTTGAAGCCGTCCATGCTTGTAGCCGCCACCACTTCCTGTGGCAGTGAATTCCAAGTGTTAATCACTAACACTTGGAGTTAGTTTCCCAAGTGTTTCCCTCTTTCACGCGCACACAGTTTCTGAAACTCATCTCTCACCTTCTTCTTTGACAAACTCATTTCCTCTTCATCTTCATTGCCTTGATCCTCAAAGGTCACCTTACGTTTGGACATTCTAGCCCTGGGAGAATCAACACAGATTAACAGGTGGATAGGAGGACAGCCTATAGACTCATCTCCAGAATGCACAACACTCAGGAGCCAGCTATCAAGATGGCTTTTGACCGTCTGCAGACTTCAGCTGAAGTCTGGCTCTGCAACTGATAACGCCCTTATCTCTGCTCTGCACATGTTAAGAGAAAGTTTGTAAACACACTGCTGCTCACTCCATCTTTACAGATCACAGTGGCAAACAGGAGAGGTGTATCGGCGTCACTTAACTGTCTTGTATACCAGAAGTTCCAACACAACTGAACTGGTTACTGATCACTTTTAAAAAATGATTTCTGTTCCCCCCTTCTACCCAAGATGGAACCCAATCAAATTTAAATCACTGTAATGACTGTGCACCAGCTATGGCAAATGGTTGCCGTGTTCTAGATGTTTCTGCACTGAAGCTGGCTCATTCAGTGCCTACGAAGGTCTGTTCCTTCTTTACAGTGGCTCCCACCTTGTGGAAGGGGCCCCTGAAGAGGTGAATTGGGAAGTGTCTATGGCAGGTGCTTTGAGGTCATCTTACTTAACTGGGTTGAAGCTGCAGGCTTTTGGGAGGGTTGTAGATGGGGCTTGACAGTATTTTGTATGTTTCAATCTTTGAAATTGTAGATTATTTTACTAAAGGAACAAATAACGAAAGGCTACCCAAACAGAATGACAAAACATAAGACTGATCCTGCTGCTGCACCTTTTGACAGCTGCTTGGCAGGCAGAAATTAATCAGCTACAGAAGAACCATCAGTGTTACTTATCTCCTGCTGAAAACCTGCCAACAGGGAGAATGAAAGGAAGTTAAGAACTGGACTGCCGAGACATACACATGAAACTGCCTTATACAGACCATAGGTCCAGCAAGGTCAGTCTTGTCTACTCAGGGTCTTTCACGTCACCTACTGCCTGATCCTATTATTATTAATGATAGTTATTGTTATTATTACTTGGGAGATGCGAGGGATTGAACCTGGGGACCTTCTGCATGCAAAGGAGGGGGTCCTTCACTGAGCCACAGCTCTTCCTCTAAAACAAAGTAGCTACAGGAGAGAACCAGCAGCCCCCTACTATCACGCCTCCCCTTATCAAAACCCAGGCAAGCTTTCCAGCTTTCCTTCACCCGCATAAGGACTCAACAGTCTTGTACATCGAGCCGTCTCGTTTACATATGCAAATCAACTCTAACGCACACCCACCAATCGCTATCAAACCCGTCCCTCTTCCTAGAAAGCTCCCCAAGGCTCCAGCCTTTCTCACAGAGGAGTCCAAGATGGGAACGAGCCTGAGGGCACAGCTCAGCAGTTCCAAGGAACATTAAGAGTCCCCATTTTCTCCCCTCCAAGTGGGCTCTCCGTGATCCCCACAGGCCATGCACAGCACGCAATCCCAATATGCAGTTACCCCCACACGCGCAGACACACGCGGGCGGTCAAAACGATGCCCACCACCCCACCGAAATCCTTACGCCGACACTCTTGCAGCTACCCGAGCTCCCGAAGCACCACCGTGAAGGCATCAACATCCGGGGTCTACGGAAGACCAAACCGGATACGACGGAAAGAGAGCAGAGACATTCCCCCTCCGTAGAGGAAATGACATAAACTTCTGGCAGCCGCTGGCTTCGTTGACGCTGATTAGCACCGCTGGAAGGAGTGCGGGCAAATTTTAAAGGCGCAGCGTGCCTTTCGCTTGCTCCTCTCTCCAGGGGTTACGAACCTTCACAGCTAAAAAAGAGAATAAACTAATAATAACAATTGGATCGTACAATTGTGTAGGAGTTCTGTGGTCTTTTTTTATATACTAATGCCCCCTATCCTTTAGAAACTTCGATCCCACTCCTGTAGGCTCCAGCCCGCTGCTACAGATAAGGACACGCAGAAGGGTAGCCCCGTTACTCTGTTGCAGTAAAAGCTGCTAGGACTCCCCACATTTTACCGTAGCAGCCTTTTTTTGTGGACTGAATCCCACGAAAGTCTGTCACAATGAAGTAGAGATCTAAACCTTGCTACTAAGAAGTAAATCCCATGTTAAATCCCTGGCTTACTCCCAGGAAAGTGTCTTTGGGACTGTAGCCTAAATCCACTAGCCTTTAAAGGGAGCCAAAAACAAGATTCTTGTTCGTAATCCTACACTGGCGTTAGAAAAAGTGTACTCTTCCAATGTTTCCAATTATTTTCTTGCTGTAATCTATATCTCCCTGTTATGGCTATGTTTTATTGAGCTTTGTGCACTGTAAAAAAGTATAAAAATAAAATTTTTAAAAAGGGGGGAAAAAGAAAAATTCTTTGAGCGCCTCATAAAACCAGCATAGAGAACTACCACCAAAACATCATAGCCTCTACCAAGAGCTCCCTCTCTTAAAAATCGGCCTAGCCTAAGGCAACGATAGAAATACAGTCACCACAACACGTTCACGGAGGATCAATCAGGGTGTTTTGCCGGGAGGCAACGAAGTCCATTCCATTCCTGCCAATCCGGATCCTCTCTCTTCCTGGGACTTTGCAGGGGCCTGAAACTTCTCAGCCTTCGACTTGATCCATAAATGTAGTGGCAGCCTGGAATTCAACAGGTGGCGATGCATCTGCCTGTCAGGAAGCTATCTGGTTCTCCGGGAGCTCTGATTCTGGATGTGCTATGGAAGGGCCTGTAACTGTCCATTGATGCATCAATATATGACCTATCAATACGGAGGGGAAGCGAACTCATAAAAATGGACACTTTATAGGAATCACTGTTAACTTGGACATATTTTAAATAAACTTGATCCAGAGCCACCACCGCCCGCCACCCCGGGGGAAAACAACCCCTTCCTTTTCTGCAGTAGCTTCTTCCTCTGATGAACACAGTCTCTCTTAAAAAAACCAATCCCTTTCGGACTAGAAATAACTTTTCAGCTTGTGGTTAACATCCCCGGCACACTGCGGCTTCCCTTAGTTCCCCTTTGCAGCTGGCTGGCCTCTCTGCTCTTGGAGAGGCGAGGGGAGCCGGGGCCTGCCCAGTCAAGTGGATGCGAGTCTCTTCGCCCACTCCACCGAAACTCTTCCTGGGAGGTGGGATCGAGTGACTTTCCAGGCACTGGGATGGAGCCCGCCAGGTGAGACCGACAGCCACGCCCACCCCGCACCTGGGAAACCACTGCCCCCCGCCCTTTGGGGGGGGGGGGGAGGCAGAGAGGGAGGAGAAACTTGCCCGGCCCAAGAAACTCTCATCTCAAAGGGGCAGCTCGATGATTTGGCGCCAAGGTGAGGAAATCTAGGTCGGGTGGGAGTCTGTCCCCCCTGCTCCCAGTTGCCTTCTTAGTGTGGCCTTGGAAAGGTCCTCCAGGAGGAAGCTCTTGGGCCTGCAAACGCAGCCAGGCCTTCGTTCCTGTAGAGGCAGCCGCGCCCCTCTCCAAGGCAGAGCTGTGCTGCTCTCTCCACCGCTCCTTTTCCATTCCCTCCTTCTTTTGCTGCCTTCCATTAGTCGTTTCTCCATTTTCTCTGGCTTTTCATTTCCCTTTTCTCTGGCTTTTCATTTTCCGCCGCCCAGTTCTTAAAATTTAGTTCTCGCCTTATTCCTTTCTTTTGTTCTGGCCTTCCCTCGGGCTTCGTTTAGTCATCCTCTCCTCCCCGGATTCCTCTGCGCCCTGGCGTGTCCACCACTCCCTTTTCGATGCTGGTTCACACTTTCCCCGTCTTACTCCACCTTTGCTTCATGCTTTCCCCTCAGTTCCATCTCTGACTGGACAGCAAAAAAGCCAATCCGAAATGGAGGCGTTAAACTGTGACTTGTATGGGTTTTTAAATTGTCGGTTTTGTTGTGGTTTTATACAGTTTTATTTATATTGTAAGCCACCCTGAGTTCCACAAGGGAGAAAGGCAGCTAATAAGTGTTTTACATAAATACATATTGATTTCTCTTCTCTGGAACCTGGCTCCTTTGAATTTTTTTCATCCCCTTCAGAATCTCCTTTCCCTTAATTCCTACACTGGTTTTATTCCTTATTCTCTGCTTTTGCTTTCCATCTCACTATCCCTGCATCAATGTTCCCTCTAAGCTGTGGAGTCTTGTGAGCAAAAATTCTACTTTGTGAGATACTGGCATTAAAGTTGTGAGCGAGTAATTTGGCTACTGTATAAATTAGTTTGTTCTGGAGCCATCCCTCCTGAGCTAAGACAAAAATCTGTGAGCCAGAGGCTAAAAACCTGTGAGCTAGCTCACACTAACTCAGCTTAGAGGGAACACTGCCCTGCATTCTTTTATTCCTTTCTACCTTTCCCCCAGCCCCATGCTCATATTCATAACCCTTACAACTTTCTATTGTTTCCTTAGATTCTGATGCTCCCCCCCCCCCATCCTCATCTTCCATTATCATCTCTACACTTTCAGGGTCTGACCACCATGAAACTCCACATCTCCAGCGCTTTGGTCTCTTCCCGCCTGGAACGCGCCCCAGATCGGCAGGGGTTGCTGTATAAAAAGAGCAGTCGCAGTTCCTCCTACCACCCGTGTTGGTGCACGCTCTGGGGTAATGTTCTGTTCCGTCGAGAGCGAGCTGGAGACCGGGATCCTCCTAAACTCATCATCTTGGAAGGCTGCACCGTGGAGCTGCTAGACTCCACATCTGAACCATATGCCTTTGAAATTTCTTACCCCTGTGGGTTACCTGGTAGCCGGGCATACCAGATGGCAGCTGAGAATCAAGAAACTCTGGAGGGCTGGGTGCGAGCGCTCAGCACCGCAGGGTTTGGATACCTCCGAGCCTTGGCTGCCGAGCTGGAAGGGCAGTTTCGAATGCTGAAGAACCAACCGCCTCTCAAATTGGATGGAGCCCCGGTAGCCTCAAAGAACTGCAAGCTACTCCTTCCAAAACTGGTGGCTGAAATGGAATCCAAAGGGACAAATTTCTCACAGCTCCACCAAGAATTTGGTGAGGACATTGTGAGGTTAAGGTATATGTGGCAAGAAAAGAAAGCTGGCAAGAAGCAACCTACAAAAGAGAGTTTGATAGATCTGGGGTAGGAAAAAATCGGCAATACCAGACACTTGACTACAACGAGCAAGTCCAGAGAATTGGAGTCTATTCTGGGGAAGGGAAAGACACTGCTAGGAATAACTTCCTGAATCAACTGTTTGATCTGCATCTGTGAAACAGACACCTTAGGTATTTTTTTAAAAGAGAAGATTTTAATAAATTAAAGAAAAACAGTGAGCAATGTGTAATTTACTGCAATTTTACCCTCAAGGAAAAATTGCTCAGCATGAGGAAGGGAATGCTAGTTATGTTGATATCTGGGCCTAGCAAAGGGATACCTCAGGGAGTGCTTGCAGAGGGAGAGGGGAAGCTTTTTGGCAACGCAAATCCTTCACAATCTGCTATACATCTCCACCAAAAGACAAGGTTAAAGTTCTTTTTATAATTTGATCCTAATAACCTATCAGTCGTGATCACAGAGTCCTAACCCAGTATCAGTAGGCCAGCTATGTTTAACAGGATGCCCTTTTAATCAGCACAGCCAATCGGAAACCCTGCTGGGCAAAAGCCCCACCCACTTTCTAAAAGCACTTGGCAGGCACCAGGAAAAGTGTGGGTGGGCACTATGGGGCACATGGGGACCCTGGCCTTTGAGGTCTTCCTCAGTCCTCTCTGCAGTCCTTTAACAGGGATTGAATCCAGGACCTTCTAGGTACAAGGCAGTACTCTACTACTGAGGCATCATGTCCATTCTATCATATGTAATTTGCGTCCTCCTTAATGGTTAAGACGCTGAACTGCAGGCTGTGGAAGGTCGGTAGTTCAGCAGTTCGAGACCCAGGTGCCGCATGGTGGAGTGAGCTCCCGTCTCTAGTTCCAGCTCCTGCCAACTTAGCAGTTCAAAAGCAAGAAATTGCAAGTAGATAAATAGGTACCACTTCGGTGGGAAGGTAACAGCGTTCCATGCGCCTTGGTGTTTTAGTCATGTCGGCCACATGACCATGGAAATGTCTTCGGACAGCGCTGGCTCTTCGGCTTTGAAACGGAGATGAGCACCGCAACCCTAGAGTCTGATTCGACTGGCTTTCGAGCAAGGGAACCTTTACCTTTACTTTTTTAATCCTACTATGTAATTCTCGTCACACATTTATCCAGCTCAGGCTTAATTCTCATAACGTATTTATCCAGCTCAGGACACTAACTGTGAACTTATGCACCATCTGTAAATTGTTGCTTTTTAACTAGTGAATGTTTTATCATAAATGCTGTTCACCGCTCTGAGCCCTGTGTAGAGGGGAGGGCGGTTTACAAGCCGAATAAATAAATCTAAGAAGAATGTTTGTTTCCAGCAACCAGAAAGCACACCTCAGACTTTGATCCTTCCAGTGATTTGAAGGCAAATTCTGATCACTGGCCTAAATGTTACGCCTGGCTCCTTTGAGTCCACATTCCTCTGCACAGTAGCCTTCCCGTCACCCAAGTTTTTGATAGACTATCAATAAATTTGTCAAAATGGGTCTAACAGCCCAGAGTGGTGGTGTCAAACTGAGACCTGGCTTCAAATACTCAGTTGCTGTGAACAGAGGTCATTTTGGGGGGGGACCGCGGGGGATCGCAGTTCCCCCGGGTGAGGTGCGGGGGGCGGGGCACATGATGAAGCCCCGCCCCCTGCTTCCAGCCGCCGCACTTCCAGCCCTCATTCAGCCAGGAGGAGGCAGGAGAAGAGGGAGGGTAAGTTGCTTCCTCCCCGCCTCTCCCCACCCCTGCTTATGACACACTTCCGGTGATGTCAGGGGGTGTGGCCTTATGACACACTTCCGGTGATGTCAGGGGGTGTGGCATATGCTAATGAGTTATGCTAATGAGTTCCCCTAGCTCTTTTTCTACGAAACGAAGCCTGGCTGTGAAGCTTATTGAGTGACCTTGGGCCAGTGTCACCCTCAGCTTCCCCTACATTTCAGGGTTGTTGTGAGGATGAAACAGAGGCGGGAAGGGCCATGCACAGCACGCTGAACTCCTTGAAGGAAGGGCAGGATAAAAATGCACCAAGCAAAATAGAAATAAATTTGAGAATCAGAGTGGGGTCATGGGTAGAGTGTTCGGCTTGGACTAGGGAGACGGAGTTCAGGCACGAAGCCTATTAGGTGACCTTGGGACCAGTCTCTCAAGCTTTACCTACTTGGCAGGGTTGTTGTGATAAAGCGGATCCAACTCCGATGGGTAAAGCGATCTAGTGGCCCTCGAGATGGATGACTCGACCCCAGTTCATAACCACAAACAAATGCCTGTTAGTTGTTGTATATCTTCTGGGCTGTATGGCCGTGGTCTTGTGGCACCTGGCGTTTCGCCAGCAGCTGTGACTGGCATCCTCAGAGGTATAACACAGAAAGATGGAGTACTCTCTGTGTCAAGGTGAGAAGACAAATGATAGGCAGGTCGTTTATATCTACTCAGGAAGGTGAAGTCGGGCTGAGTCATTATTTTGTAGGCGTTTCCCAGGCTGATGTGCTAATGCAGGAGCTTTCCTGAGGAGGTTCTTTTGCACATGGATTGGCTGTTGAAATTCTAATCTTATCTGTAGTGCTGTTGTAAGATGTAGAGCATTTTGTGTTTTTCAGTACAGGAAACCATGCCCTGTTTATTTTTAAACTCCCTTCTTTCCTGTTGAAATTGTGTTTATGTTTATGAATTTTAATGGCTTCCCTGTGTAATTTGACATGGTAATTGGATGTTTTCCAGCCTTTCAGTGTCTTGGGATGAGATACTGTGTCCTGTTTGAGTTAGCCTGTGTTCAGCCACTGCTGATTTTTCAGGTTGCCTCATTAATGATCTAACTTGATCAATTATCTACTTCACTGATACCCACTTTTCTCCCCAATGGTGACCCAACGCAGCTCACAACATCTTTGTCTGCTCGTCCACTTTATCCTCATAACAGACCCGCAAGGTAGGTTAGGCTGTGAGCAATGTTCCCGCTAAACTGTGGGGTCTTGTGAGCAAAAATTCTACTTTGTGAGCTACTGGCATTAAAGTTGTGAGCAAGCAATATGGCTAGTGCATAAATTAGCTTGCTCTGGAGCCACCCTTCCTGAGCTGAGACAAAAAATGTGTGAGCCGGAGGCTGAAAAACGGAGCTAACTCAGAGCTAGCTCACGCTAACTCAGGGAACACTGGCTGTGAGAGCGTGACTGACCCAAGGTCACCCTGGCATAGTGGAGGTCTAAACCAATGCTCCCTCTCAGCTGTGGCATCTTGTGAGCAGAAATTCTACTTTGTGAGCTACTGGCATTAAAGTTGTGAGTGACTGATTTGGCTACTGCATAAGTTACTTTGCTCTGGAGCCGTCCTTCCTGAACTAAGACAAAAATGTGTGAGCTGGAGGCTAAAATACTAAGAGCTGGCTCACACTAACTCAGCTTAGAGGGAACACTGGGTCCAAACCTGGGTCTCCCGGATTCTAGTCCGACATGCTAGAATGAAGTCCAACCACTGCTTTCCCCCCAATCTGACTACCACGCAGCTCTCCAAAGTCTTCACGAAGTGACCAGATACCTGAGGTGCCGATCCTGAGCTACGGGCCCTGCCGCATCTCTTTCCACAGACGAAAGCTTCCTCCTCTCCCCAACCACGGACACAACAACAATCCTATGCAACGCATCCCACCGCACCCCCAATCAACGGAGACACTCCAAGAGCTTGAATGTTGTTTCTTTTGTTAACATTTTTAAACAAAGCAATGGAGAAAAAAATCAATGAAAACGAGGCACAAACGACAAAAAAAGTTATTAACAGGGTGGACAGCAAGGAGTTGTCGGCTGTAAACTTCCAGTTTTTCTGCTCTTCCTGATTAGGCGGGTGGAAAGCTAAAAAAAAATTATAGAAGGCGAGGGGTAGATTTGGATGAATCCCTAATTTCCAGTGTCTGTCCCATTAAATAAGAACACAAGGTCAAAAAAAAAATCAAAAATCTCAAGTACCTGTATACATAATTACAATACTGAAAACATATATATAATATATGTGTTATAGGAAGAAGTTATGTACAGAGATGAGGATGTGCTAACAGGGGCTCTACCCCCCCTGGGGTCATTGGAGTGGGGGAGATGGCGGACTTTGGGAGAAGCTGTCATTTGACAGCAAGTAAATTTGGGGAAGCAAGGACTTAAAAGAGGTTCCTGGCTCCGGCTACACTGACGACTGCAGAGACTGTGACCCAGAGGAAAGGGGAGGATGCCTCTGCAGAAGCTGAAAGGGGGGGGGAGAAGACAAGCCATGAAAGGGGCACCCCAAGTCCCAGGGGGCCAAGTTGTGGCCCCGCCTCCTTCCCGGAACCCCTTTTCCGACAGACTGCCAACAGTGCCGGCTCCCGACTCCTGCTCGGTCTGCTGCTACCGCTGGGGCAGCAGGCCCCTCCAGACTGCAGGGCACCAGAAATGTCTCACGACCACCAAGGGTTCAGCAAGCCCCCCCCCCCATGGTGACAAGAAGGGGGACTGGGGCTGGGGGGGGAATGACACACAATGCTCTTTTGAGGCCACACAGCAGACCACAAAGACGGTGCGTTCCAATTATTTTCTAGGGTAATGTTCACTTCCCATTGAGGAAGAAGGTGAGATGGAGGATGTACCAGTTGGGCATGTCTGCACGACATGTGGCAGACATTTTAAAACTGCTTTCAATCAACATGACACCTGCCCCAAAAGCTCTGTTGTTCACTGAAGAGACACAGGAGCTCTAATTTTTTTTTTTTTTAAGCCTTCTCAGCCATTTCTCAGAACTTTAATTCTTTGTTGACTTGGTTTAAACCAATCATGGAAATGCGTCCTCAGTCTCCGGCAACTGAAGCCGGGGGCTGGATTTATCCTAATAGTCGAGGACAATGTTTCTAACTGGGAAGGGGAGGGGGGCAGATATAAATTTGCAATAAAAAAAAGAAATCTTCCTGGGGTGGCAGAAGTTCCTATGAAGCTTTGGCTGACTACAAGCCAGAGAATCACTGCCAACAAAGCAGGTTTCCCCACCTTGCTCATACAGGAATGCAGGAGCTGGAAGGCAGAACTCCTGGGTCGGGAATGAATTAACTTTCCTTCCTCACTGAAGGATTCTGATTCACCCAGGAATCCGGACAACCATACCTAAGCACCCAACTGCATCTCCCCCGGCCGCCGGCACAAACGTAATTTTAACAGCAGATGAATGGCTAAGCCGCCACACCCATCCTGACGGAGACCCTCGACCTAGAATGGTTGACCCAGCAGGCAAAAACCCCATTCGGCCCACCTTTCAGACTTCTGCCTGCCAGGTGACACCTAAAAGAACAAGCAAATGGCAGCAATCCTAAGCCATAAGTAACCATGCAAGGGGCCAGGAGCAAGAGGAAGAAGAGAAGACGGCTTTAAGGGGATTTCTCTTATTAGCCTACCAAGAGCTCATCAGGTTTAGGCTGGAGCAGCGAAATGCCCAGCAACAATTTAAGGAATGGAAGAAGAGTTAGAAGACCAAAGGGTAGCGCTGGGAGGACCGGACGCTGCTTTTAAAACTAGCCTCTCTGGAGGGGGGGGGTGGCCTACGCAGCCTGCAGTGGTTAAAGAGCTGTAAACAGGGAAGATTCTATATACAGTACTTGAGAGGGAGGATGCTGGAGTTATTAATACCAGTACCGCCTTGGTTATGTCTCCAAGCTGGGAGCAGGGAAGGTACCGCTGCACTGGTTGGCCGTGGTGAAAAACCTGCAGTGGCGCGCCCACTGGGAGAAGAGCGGCCATCTTGCTTTGGCCCTATTCCGTAACAAAGATGAAGGGTCGGAGGAGGGAGGGGGTTCAGTCCACCTCAAATCAGGCACGCGAAGAGAGAGGCGAGCACACGGACACTCAATAAAACACCGCTCTGGCCCCACACTGGGTGGTTCCCCTCGGCACTCCTCCTCCTCCTCCTGTCCTCCGGGTCCCCCTACCACAATGAGAGTGTCCCTGGTGTTGGCCACCATCTTGGTCCTTGGCTGAAGGGAGGGAGTTCCTGGGGCACGTGCTGCCCCCCCAGCCCCCCTCAAAAGTACGTGTCTTGCAGCACAGACGCCGTCGGAGCATCCCCGTCTTTTCCTTCCTCACTGGGTGGCGGAGGGGCCGATTTGGGTTCCTTTTTCCTCAGCGACAGTTTTTGGTCCTTCTTCAGCCGGGCTTCCTCTTTGGCGCGTTCCTTCTGCTGCTTCTTCTCCCGCTCTTTTTCCTGCCTCTCCCGCTCTTTTTCCTTCTTCTCCCGCTCCTTCTGCAGCTTCCGCTCCCGCTCCCGCTCCCTCTCCTGCTTCTCCTTCTCCAGCCTCTCCTGCCTTTCCCGCTCCTTCTCTTTCCGCTTCTCCTCTTTGCTGCTGCCCCCGGTCGGCTTGGGGCCACCGAGGGGCATGTTGTTCCCTGTCGGGGAGGGCAAGGCGGGGTGGAGCCCTTCGGACACCACCACCTGGCTCTGGGCGGCGGGAGGGGCCGGAGGGGGAGCCACGGAGGCAGCCAAGGTGCCCACGGAGTGTGCTGGGGAGAAGGAGGGACCGCTCAGGCTGCCGTGAGTAACCCTCTGCTTCAGGCCCGTGAGACTCAAGAGGCTGGCGCTGGCCGTGAGGGGCGGGTTCATGCGGTGGCGCTCCTCGTGGATGGCTCGCGAGCCGTGGAGCCGCCGGGAGGGCTTGTACTGGAGCTCACCCCGCGTCTCTCGCCACTTCTTCAGCTGGGTGGCGTTCTCTCGTTCTATGAGGGCTTCGGTCACTGGGAGAGTCATCACCTGAACAAGGAGGGGGAGGGAAACGGAGGTGAGAAGAAGAGTCCCGGTGGCATCTCCTCTCTCACCACAGCCCCTCTGGCCTACCACACATACCTTGACCTGGCACCACCCCACAGAGACACTGGGAAACGTGCACATTCAAGACTATGGCAGGACCTCCCCTTCCCCACCCACAGAAGCCCACCAGGCAGTTGACACTCAAGTTGCATTTCCCCCCTTGTCTCGTTTTCCTTTTTGTTTTGTTTTTTAATTCTCTGTCTTATTTTGAACTTGTTCAGTACGTCCATTAAACAGAACTTTGTCTTCTCGGAGACAAAAAAAAATCTACCGCTTGGCAAGACGCAAGCTGGAAGAGAGGAACCCCCCGCTTAATCTTTTCCTCCTATATATGCCGTGTTTCCCCGAAAATAAGACACTGTCTTATATTTATTTTACACACTAGGGCGTATACCACAAATGCATAGAAAACCTGCTAGGGCTTATTTTGGGGGTAGGTCTTATTTTCAGGATGTTCTTGTACTTCGCATCTCTGTGGTCCGGTTGTATTTAGTGAATATTATTTTCCTCCTGGCTGTGCTCCAGCTCAAACGCACCCTTCCCAAGGGCAACCCGTATGTCCCCCCCCAAAAAAAGAGAGACAGATTTGCAGCTTCGGGAAGACCAGAGTAGAGAACGTCAGAACACAAGAAGAGCCCTGCTGGGTGAGACCAAAGGCTCGTCAGGTCCAGCATTCTGTTCACGCACTGGCTGACCACTCGGGAGCCCCCGAGCGGGATGACTGCAACAGCAGCCTCCAGTCCGTGCTCCCCTGCAACTGCCTCTGGTGCTGGAAGGAGGAGATAACAGTCGTGACTAGCAGCCATCGGCAGCCCTGTCCTCCATTAATTTGTCCACTCTCCTTTTAAAGTCTCCCAAACGGCCTTAAACATTTCCTTCTGGACCCACCTTTCTTTCACTCCAGCTTACACCCCTCACTCTGACTGACGCTGGGCTTTTAAGAAATGCAGAGGGAAAGAACAATGCCGCCTTCTCCTTAATATCTACTTCGACCCGGAGATCAGTGACGTTCCTTAAACCACCACCTCCCCCGCCCCCGAATCATAGGGAATTATGGGAAGCAACACCAAACATTTCTATTGACATCCAGGTAACAGCCCTCTTTTATGGGCATGAGATTCACTTGAAAGAAAGCAACAACAGGATTTTGAGTGCATTCGACTCAGGTTTAAAATTAACGTGTCCTTATATCTGACCATGTAAATGTTGTGTCTGATATCTGAAGGTGCTAAAGTTCTGTTGTGAACAGACAAGGTCGAAATCTAGTAAATTCTTACAAGGGGCCATGTGCCTGGCTGCTTACTCTACAAGTGTGGAATCTAATGTATCGAAAGGATGCACACAGAATTAAACTCTGTTGGTCTTCAAGGTGCCGCTGGACTCAAACTTTGTTCTGCATCCTTCCAAGACAGGTTCCTAGTCCTCATGGCTGCCAACAGAAATCTAGAAATTCGAACTGATGATGACCCAGAAACTAGAGCAATCACCTACCACAAATGGACTCTGCCAAGACGGAAATGACCAACGCGGGCACCATACGGGACCAAGCCCCTTTGTGTAAATGTGGTGTTTCTTAGGAATACATGCCTCATCTGTAAACCCTTAGCCACGTCCTGCCAGAACTTCTGCATGTGCCATCGTGTTTTCAGCCCAGGATCCAACTTTCTCCCCTCCAGCTTCACCCCACTTGCTTCTCTGTTTAGCACATCGTCCCCAGGCCGGAGCTCTCACCTCATGGACCAAGTTGTCCTCTTGCATAGTCTGGAATGGCAGGTTTCGCAGCTTCTCCATCGTCTCGTACATGCCCTGGCACGAGCGCAGCTTGTCGACTGAGCCCAGGGTGTTCCGCAGCAGCACCAGGCCCACCCGGAAAACTATCTTCACCCCTGTGTGGATCACAAGCCGAGAGAGAGAGAAGAGTGTAACAGGCTGTATACTGGGGGGAGGCGGGAAGCGCAGCCTTCCTCTCTGTGAGATGCTGAGATGCAGGGAAGGAAAGAGAGGCGGGGGACTGTGCAGGGGGCACCTGGGGATTTCATCAGATGAATGGACAAAGCAGATCCCAGGTGCTCTTTATAGCACTTTAGGATAACCATGTCAAGCCTGGGATTGGGTAGAGGGTAGCCGGGGAACCCAGGCGCTCTTATCATTTTCGTCAAACATGTTCCTAGGCCTCAGACTACAACCAGGTCAGCCAGTGGCTTGGGAATCCTCCTCCTGTTCAATAATGGAAGTTGAGTTTCTAGAAAAAAGAGCAGTTCTGTCTCTGGGGAGGCCGCTTTCCCTGTCAACTGGGAGGGAAAGGACACCAAGTGGCCAAACGCGCAAGGCTTTACGGGGACGGGAGGCCGAGTCTCACCTTCGCAGAAGAACATGTCCCAAACACGCAGCACGGAGCACCAGGGCAAGGTCCGGGAGAAGATGCACATAAACCACTCGGTCATGTACAGGATGGGGTCGATCTTGTACCTCTTCAGGTGGCGGTAGGCAATGGGGGACACCCGCCGCAGGAGAGCAAAGAAGATCTCCCCGTCCAGCTGGATTGCCTCCTGCACGAGACACATTTTGGGGTGAAGAGGAAGTTGGAGACCCTGCAAACAGCGCCCTCTTTCTGTTCCCCCCGCCTGCTCCCGCTTTCCCTCCCATCACTGCCCTCCACTGAGAAAAGAGGAGCCAGAGGTTCAAAAGGTCACACAGTCTGGACATGCATGCACTGTACGCATCTACCCAAACGGTTAAGTATCTACAGCTTCTGCAGGAGGGCAGGGGAAAGATGTGGTCTAACTGTTATGAGATGGGGAAGGAGGCAGAAACTCTGCAGCCCAGTAGCAGCCCCAGAAAGGCAGGAGGGTAGTCTTTTTTATGCAGCTGTTCAAGGCAGTGTAAAAAGGCAAGGGGAACACAGAGGTGAACCTTTTCCTGGAGTGGGCATACGGCGATGCTGGGGGAAAGTGTCACCTGATCCCTGCCTGCTCCGCAAGCTGTTAAAGGCACAGAGCCTTCAGTTGTACAGAACCCTCGAGGGCCGGAATCAAACAGCCAGCCAGCCAACCCTCTCTCTCCCTCCCCGGCTTATATGAAAAGTTTTTGGTTTAATTAACGACACAACTTCACTTGTGACCAGCGACTCCATTGCAGTTCTCAAACAGGGCTGTCTCCCCCATTCAAGAAACCAATGAAATCGACGTATGTGCTTGCACAGGAAGGGTTCTACTGATGGAAGCAACCAGTTACCTTTTTAGTCAATTAAGCAACCTGATTACTGAGTAAATGTTGCAGCTCCTTTCTCAAACTAGGTTAATCTTTAGGAAACGGAGGTCAGATTTGCCTGCCAGCTGCTGCACACAAGACATTACAAAACCGGCACCAGGAATCTGAGCACACCGTGTGTCTGTTCTCTACCAGGAGATTTCAAGTTGACTGGTATGTGTGTGTGTGTGGGGGGGGTGTACACGAGAGAAAGAAAATCAGGCTGCAAACAGAATGATAATTTTTTTAGACCTCAGTCATGTGAATTGGTTTTGGCAGAAAAACAAGAGGTAAAATACACGTATGTGTGCTCTTTTTAAAAGCACATGTTTGCACTGCTGAATATTTCTAATCTAGAGGCTTCCTGACCCCTCCCAGGGGCCTCTGCCCTCTGGAAAGGCTCCCCTTTCTCTAGAAAGCGGAGTGCAAGGGAATTCCAGGATACCGCCCTCTAGGCACAGCCAGCTCCAGGAGGACAAAGCGGGGAAACTCCTGTCCAAGAAGGGTTTTAGGGCGGCACAGAGGGCATCTCCTTTATGAAATACTGAAAGCCACTAATCCCCCCTTTCCTTCCAGGAATATGTGGTCACACTCACCAGTCCCGCACTGTAGTACCCAGGGAGATATTTGTCACAGATCTGCACCAGGCACCAGAAAGCTTGCTGGGGAGAGACCAAGACAGACAGACCCTTAGCAGGAGCCCCCTGATCAGCCACACCCTCCCCGCCTACAGTCTCCATCCGAGAATCCCGGCTTGCTCCCCCACCAAAGGCGATCAAGTGCTATTAAGGTCAAGCCGGTGAGCCTTCTATCCCGGGGCCATCCTCTCTCCTCTCCTGGCTGCGACGTTTCTTCCTCAAACCACGGGCAGATGGGTGCTGACCGTCCCCCCAGAAGAAATTAACACAGGACTACTTAACATAAAAAACCCGGATGCCAGTCGTGAACAATGTTCCCTCTAAGCTGTGGAGAACTTCTGCATGTGCCATCGTGTTTTCAGCCCAGGATCCAACTTTCTCCCCTCCAGCTTCACCCCACTTGCTTCTCTGTTTAGCACACCGTCCCCGGGCCGGAGCTCTCACCTCATGGACCAGGTTGTCCTCTTGCATAGTCTGGAATGGCAGGTTTCGCAGCTTCTCCATCGTCTCGTACATGCCCTGGCACGAGCGCAGCTTGTCGACTGAGCCCAGGGTGTTCCGCAGCAGCACCAGGCCCACCCGGAAAACTATCTTCACCCCTGTGTGGATCACAAGCCGAGAGAGAGAGAAGAGTGTAACAGGCTGTATACTGGGGGGAGGCGGGAAGAGCAGCCTTCCTCTCTGTGAGATGCTGAGATGCAGGGAAGGAAAGGGAGGCGGGGGACTGTGCAGGGGGCACCTGGGGATTTCATCAGATGAATGGACAAAGCAGATCCCAGGTGCTCTTTATAGCACTTTAGGATAACCATGTCAAGCCTGGGATTGGGTAGAGGGTAGCCGGGGAACCCAGGCGCTCTTATCTTTTTCGTCAAACATGTTCCTAGGCCTCAGACTACAACCAGGTCAGCCAGTGGCTTGGGAATCCTCCTCCTGTTCAATAATGGAAGTTGAGTTTCTAGAAAAAAGAGCAGTTCTGTCTCTGGGGAGGCCGCTTTCCCTGTCAACTGGGAGGGAAAGGACACCAAGTGGCCAAACGCGCAAGGCTTTACGGGGACGGGAGGCCGAGTCTCACCTTCGCAGAAGAACATGTCCCAAACACGCAGCACGGAGCACCAGGGCAAGGTCCGGGAGAAGATGCACATAAACCACTCGGTCATGTACAGGATGGGGTCGATCTTGTACCTCTTCAGGTGGCGGTAGGCAATGGGGGACACCCGCCGCAGGAGAGCAAAGAAGATCTCCCCGTCCAGCTGGATTGCCTCCTGCACGAGACACATTTTGGGGTGAAGAGGAAGTTGGAGACCCTGCAAACAGCGCCCTCTTTCTGTTCCCCCCGCCTGCTCCCGCTTTCCCTCCCATCACTGCCCTCCGCTGAGAAAAGAGGAGCCGGAGGTTCAAAAGGTCACACAGTCTGGACATGCATGCACTGTACGCATCTACCCAAACGGTTAAGTATCTACAGCTTCTGCAGGAGGGCAGGGGAAAGATGTGGTCTAACTGTTATGAGATGGGGAAGGAGGCAGAAACTCTGCAGCCCAGTAGCAGCCCCAGAAAGGCAGGAGGGTAGTCTTTTTTATGCAGCTGTTCAAGGCAGTGTAAAAAGGCAAGGGGAACACAGAGGTGAACCTTTTCCTGGAGTGGGCATACGGCGATGCTGGGGGAAAGTGTCACCTGATCCCTGCCTGCTCCGCAAGCTGTTAAAGGCACAGAGCCTTCAGTTGTACAGAACCCTCGAGGGCCGGAATCAAACAGCCAGCCAGCCAACCCTCTCTCCCTCCCCGGCTTATATGAAAAGTTTTTGGTTTAATTAACGACACAACTTCACTCGTGACCAGCGACTCCATTTCAGTTCTCAAACAGGGCTGCCCCCCACATTCAAGAAACCATTGAAATCGACGTATGTGCTTGCACACAGGAAGTGTTCTACTGATGGAAGCATCCTTTGTTTCTAGATGCGGACATAAAGGAGGAGAGGGAGATAACCCCTTAGGGAAAAGGTAAGCAGTGGCAGATGCTACCTGTAAAACAAAGTCTGGGGAACCCCCCCCCCCCCAAAAAAAAACCAGTTACCTTTTTAGTCAATTAAGCAACCTGATTACTGAGTAAATGTTGCAGCTCCTTTCTCAAACTAGGTTAATCTTTAGGAAACGGAGGTCAGATTTGCCTGCCAGCTGCTGCACACAAGACATTACAAAACCGGCACCAGGAATCTGAGCACACCGTGTGTCTGTTCTCTACCAGGAGATTTCAAGTTGACTGGTATGTGTGTGTGTGTGGGGGGGGTGTACACGAGAGAAAGAAAATCAGGCTGCAAACAGAATGATAATTTTTTTAGACCTCAGTCATGTGAATTGGTTTTGGCAGAAAAACAAGAGGTAAAATACACGTATGTGTGCTCTTTTTAAAAGCACATGTTTGCACTGCTGAATGTTTCTAATCTAGAGGCTTCCTGACCCCTCCCAGGGGCCTCTGCCCTCTGGAAAGGCTCCCCTTTCTCTAGAAAGCGGAGTGCAAGGGAATTCTAGGATACCGCCCTCTAGGCACAGACATCTCCAGGAGGACGAAGCGGGGAAACTCCTGTCCAAGAAGGATTTTAGGGCGGCACAGAGGGCATCTCCTTTATGAAATACTAAAAGCCACTAATTCCCCCTTTCCTTCCAGGAATATGTGGTCACACTCACCAGTCCCGCACTGTAGTACCCAGGGAGATATTTGTCACAGATCTGCACCAGGCACCAGAAAGCTTGCTGGGGAGAGACCAAGACAGACAGACCCTTAGCAGGAGCCCCCTGAGCAGCCACACCCTCCCCGCCTACAGTCTCCATCCGAGAATCCCGGCT